TTTCTATAACCAACCCACTATGTTTTGTATTAGTTAAAAATCGAATATAGTGGGCGCAATTTGGTAGAAACTAAACAGAAAGAAATTCATTGGCGAAATTCTCTTAGAAAACTTGGGTAAGCATGCTGATGATATTTTTAAATTATTCATTCTACCATTTATCTAATTGACCTTAAAAGTAGAGGTGATGAGGAGCAAGAATTTCAAATTACACTGATGATGCATTACAAGGAGATCGATGATCTTAAAGGTATTCTTTTTAATATTCTACTTATTCTTTATATATAAATTTTTTTTTAATTAGAAAAAATTTCTCCAGAGAAAATACAAAATTCCAATCCAAATCTAAGTGTTTTGGAAGATTATCGTATTCGTGAGAAAGGGTATTTGTTACGTGTTAGATCTCGGAAATGTATCAGGTATCTAAATGGCACTTTTTATCTCAACATATGTTACATAAAATATAAACAGTTATTTTATTTAGATGATTACTCTTCAAGGCAAATTTTTGAAATTTTGTCACAATTTGTGTCCTAATAAAGAAGAAATTAATGGACAGCACAGACGATTTAAATAATGAAGGGGTCCATTCGGCTTCTTCAAATAAGCCTTGGGAATTATCTGCCACAATTCCCAGATGATTCTTTCGAAAAATTCGTCTGGAGGAATTTTTGAATGATGAATTGGTCTTGGATAATTTTTTAAAAAATTTGACGCATCTCACCCGCCTCGTGAACAGATTCATAATTTAGATGTCATCGAAGTGAAAATTTCTGTTTTTTATCCCCATTTATTTATTTATGTCTAAGTAATTTTTTAAGATTTAAGCATGAATAATGTATAAATCATATAGAATATTAAGTTTTATTTTTATGCAATATTTAAAAAAATTAAAAATAATATCATTAAGCTCGTTTAAACGTATGCTATGTTTTCTTTCAATCAATTTTTAAGCTACAAAAAAACAATCTTCGAATTTTAAAAAAGAATCGAGCGATCGAAATAAACAAAATAAAATATAAAAAAATAAAATAAGAAAAAAATAAAGCTTTATTTTAAAATACATGATATTATTAAATATTAAATTATATTTTAAATTATAAGATTATCCTTAAAATATAATAATAAATTCTTTACATATAGGTTGCACTAAAACTATTAATTGTCCGAATGGTTGTCAAAAAAAGTTTATTATTTACATTAAGATATTTTTTTTTTTATAAAACAATCAAATACAATCTTTGGCATTAGAATATATACTGATTATGAAGATAAAATTATTAGGTTAATAGTAATCATTTTTTTTTTTTTGATTATTTCCCTATAAGGCAACAAATAATCCAAGTGTAGATGATACCAGGCGTATGACTAATAATAACTAATGCATTTTTGTAATATTAGATATATAGATTTGTTTTATTAAAGAGGATATTTTTCGTTATATTAATCTTTTTGTAAAGCAATTAAAATTTTAACGCAAAAAACAAATGGTTAATAATTATTAACTACAATATTCTTTCGGCCAAATTGCACCTGATGAAATGACAATATTCCTTCATAATGAAGATAGTTTCTTGTTTCTTTTTAAAGTTTTATTTTATTACTCAAGGATAATTGTTCGGATGATTATTTAGGATATCCGGTGACTAATCTATGGTTATTTCAGATAAAAAAAAAAAAAATGCATTAAAATATTACTATCTGTGCATTGCGTAGTTATCATAAAAAAAATTCTAAATCAGACATCCATTATTATCGGAAAATGAACTAATACTGCGAAATAATATTATTAAGTCGGGTAATAATGAGTGGTCGAATAGCATTAGTATTTGAACCGTTGGGATCTATTACTTAAGGATGGAAGTTTATTATTTGATTGAGAAAGAATAGAGCGGAAAGATGATAAGTCATAGGAATTACAGGTATTATTGCTAGAGAATGGTTCTCGAAGGGGTGGCGTAAGATTTCCTGACTATATAATATAAAAATAATTTTAATATGTACACATAATATTTATTTAGATTTTAAATTATATGTACTTACTCATCTATAAATTCGCCAGAATTGGTAATAAAAATAATTGTTCCTTCCATTCTTTTTGTTTCCAATTGAATGTTGCTTTTATTGTCTTCAAATAAACTATCCTCGAGTCGAAGTGTTTGTAAATATGCTTTTAAGTCTTTCCCCACCAGCAGCACCCTCAAACACACATAGATATTTCTGTTGATTTGATATATAATTAAAACTGCTAATGACACCATTCACAATTAACGTAGCTTCGGATTCATTTGGAAGACATGCAAGTAAAGTTTCGAATTTTTTAATTCTTCTCCATAAAATTCGAACAGCAATTTCGCACCAAAGTCTCATTACTAGCAAGCAAGCAAATCTTCATTTAAATATTTAAAGGTTTCATTTAAAGGCAAATTATAAGTCATTTTAATAAGAAAAAGGAAAAAAAAAGTGTTAGTTTTATTTAAGAATTTTCATACTAATATCGCTAATGTTACACTCACCAAAACATTTTGAACTAAACCAAAAAAAAGAAAGTACAGTGATCTCCCAAGAATTTAAATAGGGTTCATCTTTAAATTATAAAAAAAAATTTCTAAGCCCGGTGACAGATACTGCGCCTTAAGAAATCATTTCGTACGTGGATATTGTTCGATAAGACCATGTCGTATCAAATTCGACCCTGCATTGATTAACATTATATGAAGAAAGTGAATGAAAAAAAAAAATTAGGCTGAATTACGCCCGCATGCGAATCATGTGAAAGTAACAGATAAGTTAATGATAATGCTAAAATACATGATTTATTCCAAGATAAAGTTAACCAAAAAAGGAAGATATATGTGAATTTTTCAAAATTTTACAGGAAGTTACCCGACCTGGCACCGGTGTCACAAAAACGATTTTAACATAATTGTCGTTGCGCCACATGCAAATAAACAAATTTGAGGCTGCTCGATTGTGATACTTCGCCCATATTACGAAATGAGGCTTACGAAAAAATTTTGGGTTTATATATTACATGGCAAGTTTTTCCTTTAAACCTTTCAACATTTTTTTAAAAAAAAAAAATTTTACATGAAATTTAGTATAACAAAAGTTCTTTTATTAACTCTTCTGCAAAATAAGTTATTTGTTTTATAATAATGCCTCCTACCTCCCCAGACAAAAATCACCGGACAATCAACAAATAAAATAATTTATTTTAACCGATATTTAAAAAAATCCCTAAAAAAAATTGTTTATTTCGAAGCTACATATTTATATTTATCTTTTTAAATAAAATCCTAATTGCTCCTTCAAAGAGCATATAAGGTTGATATTAAACCTTTTATTAGAAATGTAATTGCAAAATATGAAGATTAGGAATTATAAAAGAATTCAAAGCTGATGAATTTTATAATTGGTAACTGAGTGAGCGTTCAAAAATTATTTTATTAAAATAATATAAAATCAATTTTTTTAAAAAATAATAACTTCTATAGATAGAATATAATTATATTATTCAATGTTAATAATTATTTCATGTATTGTTTACGTATCATATACTTGTAGTTGTAAATCATTTTCGTTTGAGTAAAAAAGAATATTCATTTAATAGAAAAATTTTTTATATACAATACATACAGTCAACCCTCTCTAAATGCACCCTCTCTAAATACACATACTATATATTTTCTCTCTAAATGCATGCTCTCGTTCAGCCACAAGCATATAGAATTCATATAGAAATTTTCTCTTTAAATGCACACCCTCTTTAAATGCACATTTTTTAAAATTTTCACTATGGTTCCAAAAATAATATACAGTCAACCCTCTCTAAATACATACTTTCTAAATGCATATACTATATATTTTCTCTCTAAATGCATGCTCTCGTTCAGTCTCAAGCATATAGAATTCATATAGAAAATTTCTCTTTAAATGCACACCCTCTTTAAATGCACATTTTTTAAAATTTTCACTATGATCCCAAGGGGGTATATTTAGAGAGGGTTGACTGTATATGAAAGAAAAATAGAAAAAAAAAAACTTCAATTCAGTTGAACTTTATAGGAAATGAAATGTACTAGAAACTGATAATGATTATCATTTTTTACAAGTTGGTCTTAATCATAAATTCTCTTAAATTATTTTATTATACTTTATACATTTATAAAAAGATCAAAAAAGAGAAGAAAATAAATGGCAGTTTATAAGAAAACAAGGCGTACTAGAAATTGATAACAATTATCATTTTACATAAGTTAGTCTTAATCATAAATTCTCTTAAATTATTTCATCATATTTTATATATTTATGAAAAGGTCAAGAAAGAGAAGGAAATAAATGGCAGTTTACAAGAAGATAAGATATACTAAAAACTGATTGTTAAATGGAATAACTTTTGAACTAATGATCAATGTTTCGATGGAAATAGTATCATTAGAACCGTCTTGATGAG